CTTTATGCAAATTCTAATAGAACATGTTCTGTTTTAGATTTATAAATTATTTTTGATTAAATTTAAAGAAAAGAGTAAAATGACATGAGAGAAATATAAACTCTTAATGTTAAATATGAGTAATTATGTAATAATATTAGAGATTTGGAAAAAATATATAAGAATTTATCAAATGGAGTTGTACTTAAATAAAGAAAAGAAGCTAATTAAATTAATAAAAGAATCTTTTTTATTTCTAATAATTAAAAATAACTTATGGAATGCCATTCGATTTCTTTTTTTAATAATACTATATCGATACTTAAAAGTGATAGATTTCTTAACGTCTGGTAAGAAAATTGGCATTATAATTAAGTTAGAATTGTAAATAATAATATACTTTTATATATACCTGAAGGTAAATAAACAATTGAATATACTAAGATATGTGAAGGATTATTAAATTCAGTTAAACTTTAATGTATATTTGTGTAAGAATTTAATGAAAATTTAAAAATAAATAATGAAAATATTCAAACAATTAAAAAATTGAAATAAAAAAAAAAAACTACTTGTAATATTTACTGAAATTATTTATTTATTATATTTAATTATATTTATATATATATATATATATTATTTTTTTTTTTATTCATTTTTTAATTGGAAATTTTTTATTTTAAATTTATATTTTAGAACCTTTTGCTGTAATAAATAAATCATTTTGCATTTCATTTGTAATTTTTACGGATTAACTATAATTATTTTTTTCCTCAAGTAATTTTGTTATAGTTTATTGTTTTTTCATATTATTATTATTTATTTATATCTAATTTTTTTGTAAAATTGGGACTACTTTAATATTATTATCAATTTTTTAATTATTACTATCATTTATATTTATATTATAATTATTGTTTTCTTCTCCTAAATATTTTAACTCTTTTATAACTAAAGGAACTTTATTTTAAATTATTTTATTTTTAAATTTACTATGTATGTTATAAGGAGAGTTGTGGTGATTTTTTATTCTAAATTCGATTTACTTTTACTAATTATAATTTTCTTCATTTTTTTAAATTTTTTAGTATGGATATAATTTCTTTTATTATGTTTTAGATGCATTTGGTAATCTATTATTATAAATTTTTTCCAGATCTCTTGGTTAATTAAGCTTTTTTTTTTAAACTTATTCAACTTTCGGTTCTTAATTTTTTTTTGAATTTCTTTTTATATCTAATTATTTTATTTGATCATAAATGATTTTTTTAAAATAAAAAAATAAATACTTGCTCCAGTTTATTATTCAAAACATTCTTAAGAAAAAGCCAAATATTCCCAAAACTAATCTTCTTAATCATCATTAACAGGAAATATTTTTTAATATCCACCCAAAACCTAATTTTCATACAAGTCTCTTTCTTCGGAGAATTTGGAAATTTCTTCGTTTTTCTCTTCTAAACTTAATTTAAGTTTTTTTCCAGTCAAAACTCTTTATTACATCAATTCTTTTCTATTCGCGATAATTTTCTTTTTACTCCCAAAGTTAATATTCATAATCTTCAAAGCATCTCTTATAGCATTTTTTTTAATAAATCCATCTAAAGGAGTATCCGTTTCAAAACTAGGAGTATGATTGACTTCTAAAACAAATGGTCTTAATTACTAATCAATAATAATATCAAACCCAAGTAATTCAAAGCACATATTATTCGCATAATTATCAGGTTAACAACTTTTATAATGATGTGCAATAATAGGTTAAGCACAAATTATAGTTTTAATAATAACTCTTTTAATATCTTCCCATAATTTTTAAGTATTTTTTCCTTCTTTTTCTAATAAATCAAATATTGCAGATATTGATCTTTTATGACCTAAATCCATTCTTTCATTTCCTTTATTAAATTGAAAGTGTGGATTTTCTTTATTTATTGCATAGTTTGTTAAATGCATACATGTGTTTTCTATATTTTCTTTTGTAGGAACTTTATATTCTTCAGTAGAAAATCTTGATAGACCTTCATAAAATAAATAAATTCTTAAAGGATCACATCCTGCTAACAACACATAAAATCGAAAATCAAATTTTAAATTTTCAATTAAATATGGTTTTTCTATATATTTTTGGACCACACAATGCTCAAATTGTGGAATTTCTTCTATACTTTTGGCCAAAAAAATTCCTCTTCCTTAACACGAAGCTTCAGGCTTTATTATATATGTACCTTTATTATTATTTTTTTCATAGTCATATTTTAAGTCTTTATATTAGGAAGGTAGGATATATGTTTTTGGGAAAAAATTATATTTACAAGGAAATTTTTTAGTCATCTTTTACAAATTTCGCGCTAAATGATTTTTCCTTGATAATGAAAACATTCCAGGGAAATGATTTATTTTTTAAAATTATTACATTCTGGATAATTATTCTGGTTAAACTGCATTATCAGACCAAAATATATCCCAATTAGTAGCTTCTGGTGTATATTGTAATTTCCAATTGAATATTTTTTTGCCTATAAATTTTATTACATTATATTTGGTATCGGAAACATTCAATTAAATTTAATTTTTGGGATTTTTTTACACATTCTTTTGGATTTTCGGTTCTTTTTTAAAGTTGATTTTTTATGTTTTTTTCACTGGTTCTTCTGATTCATCACTTTCACCTGAATCAGAATAATTATAATCGTAATTATTTGGATCTTATTTTGGGTTATATATTATTTCGCGTTTTTAATTTAGTTTTGTTGAATAGTCTCTTATCGACTTTTAATTAGTTTAATTTGGCTAATTTTTATTATACTAAAATTTTATTATCGGAAGTGATTGATTGATAATTTACTTTTAGCAATTTTTTTCTATTTTTGTTTATTTATCTTCCTATATTTATTTATTGTCTTATATTTATTTAACTTCTTATATTAATTTATCTACTTATAAATTATTTTATTTTTCTTATAGTTTTTATTCTTCTTATATATTTTTTAATTCTTATTCCCTTTATTCTCCCTATTCTCCTTATTCTTCTTATTCATCTTATTCTTCTTATTCTTCTTATTCGTCTTATTCTTCTTATTCTTCTTATTCTATTTCTTCTTGTTCTTGTTCTTGTTCTTGTTCTTATTCTTGTTCTTATTCTTATTCTTATTCTTATTCTTCATTTTCATATTCTTCATATTAATCTCTCTCTTTTTACTAAAATTCATCTTAGTAATCTTCATATTCTACTTCGAAATCATTCTGATAAAAAGTGTTGTTTATGTTCATTTAAATATAATTTGTATTTATTTGTTTATATTTTAAAATAAAAATGTATTTTTTTCTTTCTATTTATTTTTAAATTTTTATTAATTTAAAAAATATATATTTTTAAAAAATAATTATTTATAAATTTATTTCATTTAGTAAATAAATAAACTTTTTCAATAAATACTATTGAAAATGAAGAAAATATATTTAATTATATTATTTTATAATAAAAAGAAACATATAAAAAAAATTAGATTTTAACAGATAAAATCGAAAAAAACAAAAACCATAATTAAATTGCTTTGTTAATAATTTAATAGAAATTAAAATTTTTGTTTAAATATTAAAGTTTTAAGATAAAATAAGAATTTTAATATAATGTAAACTAAAAATATAAATAATTTTATAATTATTAAAAAAATAATATAGCTTTTATTATTAAAAATAGTAAAAAATATTTTGTTTTAAAAAGTAAAAACAAAATTGCTTAATTAAAAACTTAATTTATAATTTTTGTTTTTAATTTTATTACTTGGATTTTGATTTAATGCTAAGAAAATAAATTTATAATTAAAATATAAAAAGAAAAAGAAAAATTAGTTTATAATAAATTATACATAAATAACTAAAACTACATTAGTTTATTAAAAATAACATAAAATTTCATATAAAGTGTATAATAAAATAATTTAATTATAGTTTAATTTTAATAAAAAAAAACATATTTAATTTTTTTAAATATAAAAATGAATACTAATTTTTAATAAAAATTATTTAGTATTGACAAATAAATTTTTCCTTTATAATAGAATATTTATCTTTTAAAATATATAAAATAATTTCTATATTTTGTATTTTATATTTCAAAAATCAAAAAAATATTAAAAACATTATATATTTATTATCTATTATTTTTTATTATACTTTCACTATATTTTAATTTCTTTTCAAATTATTAAAAATTCTATATAAGTAAAATGATTATTCAATTTTTATAGTATTATTTTATATTATGTATAAAACTTTAAGTAAATAATGAATAAATATTATTTTTAAATTATAATATAATTAATTTATCATATATTTTTAAATACATAATTAATTAATAATAGACATAATAAAAAATGAATAAACTTAAACTTATAGGTTCTAAAAGTGACCCTACAAATGACTAATTTCTAATTTCCTTAGAAGAGTTAATAGGAAAAGGATAATTTGGCAATATATATAAAGCATATAACTATGCAGATTATTTAATAAATTAATAAAAAAATCCAATATGTGTAAAAGAGATAAAAAGAGAAAAAATATCATCCAAAATGATAAAATCAATATAAAATGAAGCTTAAATATAATGTTAGAATTTATCTGACTATGTAGTATAAATGTATTCAGTAAAATAAACAAAATCAAATGTAACAAAATAAAAATATAAATAAATATATAATAATAAAAAAGATATATTTTTTTCTCGAATACTGCCCAGATAAAGATTTGAGACACTTTTTATAAAAAAACGTAAAAAATAGAAAATAATTTTTTATAATAAATAAAAAAAGAGGTTAAACGAAAAGCAAATATTATATTTATTTGGATAAATATGCACCGCGTTTAAACAATTAAAATAATATGGAATATATCATAGAGATTTGAAACCTGAAAACATATTATTAAAAAATGGTTTAATTAAAATATCAGATTTCGGATTTTCGAAAATAGTATAAAAAGATACATTTACAAATACTTAAGTTGGAACTCCTTTTTATATGTCTCCTTAAGCTCTGTCTTCTGATAATTATGATTTAGAAAAAAATGATGTTTGGTCAGCAGGAGTTCTTCTATATGAAATGGTTTTTTAAAAAATACCTTGGAAAGTAGATCATAATGAAAACGATTAATAATTATCTTTATAATAATTAATTAATGTTATTATTTAAAATGAGATTAACTTTGAATGTAATAATTAAAATTTTTCAGAATAAATAATAGATTTAATTAAACTTATGCTAGATCAAGATGAGGAAAGTAGAGTTGATTGGGATGATATCAATAATAAAGGAATTATAGTTAATAGTTTTGATGAAACAATTAGATAGGAGGTTATTTAAATGTCTAAGTTATGAAAAAATTATTTTATATTTTATTTTTTATTTTTAATCAATACTTACATATATATATTAGTTTTTTATAAATTAATTTTGTATTTTTTTTTTTTGATTATAAAAATAAATGAGTCATTCAATGAAAAAAATAAGTGAAAATATACAAGATATAGAACAAGAAATATAATAAAAGCAAATAAAAAGAACACAACTTCATAAGCATTCAACATTAAATTGGTTAAAATCAAGGCATTAAGATAAAACTAAAAAAAAATATTTACTTTTACCAGAAGAGTTAAAAGAAGATAATAAAATTTAAAAGATTTTTTCGGTTTTAGATATTGAAGGATCCCAAACTTTAAATTTAGATTAAATGGTTGAAATATTTAAGAAGTATTTTAATAAAAAATAAAAAAATATTAAATATTTAATATAAAAATAGATATAATATTCAACTTGAAAAAAATGACTTAAATAAGCTTTATAAAGTTGTAGATTTTAATAAAGATAATTCTTTGAATTTTTTAGAATTTAAATAATGTGCTATCAATCCTATAGCTAATTTTACCTTTTCTAATATAATGAGAAAAGTTAGGCATTAAGAAGAAAATAATCCACTTCTTTTAAACAAAAAAAATATTTATTTGCCACAAGTTTTTTCTTCTATGGTTAGTTATTTATCATATAGAATTAATAGGGAAAAATTAGAGAATAATATAAACTCAAAAAAGGGAAAAAATTAAGAAAAATATGAAAAATACTTAAAATTAATCACTTTAGATGATCTTAATACACGTATTTCTGAAAAGTATAAATTTAAAATATAAGCTTAATAAAAATAATAAAAATAATAAAAATCAGAAGAATTAGAAAAAAGCATTTTTCATAGCGAAGCTTTAAGTCAATAGTAATTTAGCAATTAAAGTTAAAGTTAAATAAATAAAAAAGAAAAAAATCTGTAAACTATTATTAAAGAAAGTTAAAAAAAAGGTATAAATTTGGCTGGAAATTTAATGGAGAAATTAGAAAAAAAATAAAGAAATTATATAAAAAGTCCACTTTTTCAAAAAAAAAAAATGTTCTAAAGTTAAAATTTAATATAGAAAAAAAACACTGATTTTAAAAAGGAATATGAAACAAAAATTTATAATTAAAAAGATATTTTAAAATCTCTAAACTAATATTTTAATGAGAAAAATAAATTCTTATAAAAAAATAATTTTTAAGATAATGTGTAAAATACTTATTTGGTTTAAAAAAATAAAAAGATTGTTATTAAATAAAACTTAAATATTAATTAAAATAATAGTTTAGATGAAAAAAATAATTAGTTAATATTCTAATAAAAATAATCAAATAGTTTATTTTAATTAGTTAAAAAAAAATAACTAGAATATTTAAAAAGTAATACTTAATTAAGTACAAAAAAAACTTAAAACTCTTATTATTAAACTGAATGAGTATTATTCTTTTTTCTTTAAATATTTTTTCTAAAATAATAAAATTAAATTATAATTTTATTATTTAATAATTTTTATTTTATATATATTTTTGTTGGTATTTATTATTTTTATAAATTAAAATAAAATAATATTAAATAATTTTTATTTAAAATTAACATTTATAAATAAATAAAAGAAATGCAAAAAAATATGTAGAATGAAAAAAATAATAAAATAGCGCACCTAACAATATATTTATACAAAAAAGATATAAAATAAACACGAAAAAAAAGTCATAAAAAATAAAATACTTAAGAATAAAAAAAACTTATTTTTGATTAAAAATAGCCTTTTTAACTATTAAAAAAAAAAAATGATACTTTTATTTCAGGTGATTGGAATGTATAAGTATGTTCTCCACAAAAAAAAGAGGCATTATTTTTTTTTTATATATATATATATATATATATATATATATATATATATATATTTATATATACATATATATATATATATGTTTGAATATATATTTTTGTTAAATAAAAAAAAGATTTGTTTTAAATAATAATTTGAAAAAAAAAATGATAGATTATTTTAAAAAGATTCATATTTCATCAATGATTTGCTCTAAAAAATTGATTAGGTATTTATTTAGAATAGAATTTTGGGAAAAAACATAAGTGATTTAAGAAAACTAAAAAATGAATTAATATAAAAATAAATAAATTAAGAAAATTAATCAAAAATAAAAAGTTTTTTTAAAAAAGAAGAAAAGTAAGAGAAAAACTAAGATTTTAAAATGATATTTGAATAAAATAAAGTTTTATAATTGAAAACTAAGGATATATTACTTTAAAATGATTAACTAAATACATATGTAAACTAACTTTTAAAAGAAAATGACAAAATAAATTAAGTTTTAATAAAAACAAACGAAAACAACATAAAATTAAATAAAGAAATAAAATTTTTAAAAGAATAATTATAAATTAATTTATGAAATATTTATTATATTTTTTTTTTTTTAATAAAAAAAAAAAGTATAATATTCAATTATTTTATTCTTCTTCAATGATAACTTACATATCATTTATTTTGCCTAAAAAATTAGTTACTTTTTAATATTAATTTATTAATATAGGTTAAGATTAAGTAACACACCATTCGTTATCGAAAATTTCGTCATCAGTTTATTAACAGAAGTATTTATATACATATTCAAAATCGATTTAATTTAAATCTTAGTTCGATTCATATGATATTTAATATATATATTCGGTTTAATCATCTGTTAGTTAAATATTATTTTAAAAGAGATAATTTTCAAATTAGTTTTTAGAAAATTAATTTATATCTTAATACTTTAATGTCAAGAACTAAATTTTATGTTTTTTATATTTTTATTTTTATATTTTTTATTATTTTTTTTACTTTTTATATAGATTAATAATCATCATAATAATTGAGTTTATTGTATATATTATATAATCCTATAAATTTCAAAAAAAGTTTTTTTATTGTAGATAATTTATTTGTTTTGGATTAAATATTATTATTAGTATTTAAAATTGAATTTTATTATGATTTATTACTTAATATATCTTCAGTTAAATACTTACATAATTAATTTAATTCTGATTCATTTGAAATGTTAAAAGGTGTACTAAATTTAATATTAAATTATAAGAATATATAAATATAAATATAAATATAAATATAAATATAAATATAAATATATATATATATATATATAAATATTTTATAAATATTTATCTTTATATAAATAAATTATACTTTGATAGAATAGCTTTCATTTCATTATAATTAGCGCTTTATTTTTCAATTATATTATTATCAAATAAATACTTTTATATTTTTTATTAAAAAGATTATAAAAAATTAAAAAAATTACATTTTCAATTTTAATATATTATATGTTTTATTATCTTAATCTAAATCTTAACTCTAACCTTAATGCAAATAACTCTGTATTTAAAATTTCTAATTTTTTCTTTATTTATTATTATGGAGTTATACAGTTTCCTGAGAAATTATCTTATTATTAATATTAATTTGAAGGAGTACTAGATTCTAAATTAACTGAATTTGTATAAGTAAAACTTTAGTTAGATTTTCGAATGTCTCTTATTTTTTTTAGAGGGATAGATCTATTGAACTTATCTTATAGTTCGAAATATTCTTATTAAAGTTTTTTATATTTGTTTATGTGAGCCATCATTTCTTGTTCAGCTTTTGCTAGTTTATTTTAATAATCTTATACAACATTTTTTATTTTCTGATCTTTTTCAGCTGCTTATTTTTCTAGTTAAAGGATTTTGTTAAATTTTTAGTTATTTTCATTTATTTTTTCTTATAATTTTTGTTAGAATTTATCTGCTTTTCAAGAGGAGATACACTTTATACTTAAACTTAATTTTTAGTCGGACTTTCATTTTATTTTAATTTATTTATCTCTTTATCCTTTTCAGTTATTATTTTTTTTAATATTAATTTATCTTTTTGGTATTTTTAAATTATTTTCTCAGATTCATGAATTTAATTCTTTTGATATTTTTTATAATATAAGTTTTTTTTATGTTACTTATTAGTTTTATTGTATATTCTATAGATCTGAATATTTATCAGTTATTTCATTAATTTGATTTTATAATTATGTTATTAAGTTTTGTTAATTTATGTAACTTTCGCATCTTTTATTTATAAATATTTCTATTTTAACTTTTTTTTTTTTACTCATCTGGATTTAATTTTAATGAAAGTTCTAAAAATTTTCTCAATCTAATTGCTTCATCCATATATCTTTATATTTCTATTTCTAACTCCTGTGTTTTGGTTAATTTTATATTTCTTTTTAGTTAAGAAATTTATTTTTATTTCGAAATCAATTCTAAATTTTAATCACTTATTTATTTTTTTAATGCTGGAACAATAGAACCCTATATTTTTATAATATAATATTTAATTATTATATATATATATATATATAAATGATTGTTTTAATTTTAACTTCATTGTTTTAATATAATTTTGAGGATAATTAAGAATTTTTTATCTAATTTAATATTTTTGATGTTTATTATTCTAATTAATCTGATGGTATTTTTTCATATTTTGAAAGTTCTTGCTTTAGAGAATTATTGGAACATTTTAATTTTAAATTTTCTAATTTTTATTCATTAAATTGTTTTTTTATTTGTATTAATTCTTCATACAGTTATTCTTTATCAAAAAACATTTATTTCGGAATTGCTTTTTCATTATTTTAAAATGAATTTCTTTTTACAGTACTATATATTAATTTATTATTTATTTATTTTTTAAAATATACATGTTTGCATTTTCTTTATGTTTAAGTAACTAAGGATTAGCTTTTATCTAAAAATTTTAATTGTTCCTTTTTGAATTTGAAGTAAAATATTAATTAATTTCAGTATCCATAAAAAAATATATCAATTGTTTATTTAAAAAAAATATTTTTTTTTTTTTTTTTTCGTTTTTTTTTTATTTTATTTTTATAATATTTATTTATGTAATAATTAACAAAAAAAAAAAATGTTATACATAATATAAATTTATTTATAAAAAGTAATTTAAAAGATTCTATCAATAATTAAACAATTAATTAAGATTTTTAAAAACTTTAATAAATTATGTTTCTTCATGGTATTTTCCTGAAATTTTTACACAGAATTATTAATCATTAATATATTTTTTACATAATCCTCCTTACCTATTATCTATTAATTATTTCGATACAATTTCATACATATTGAATTATTTCAAATTTAAATCTTCCTATCCCAAATCAATTTCTAAATAAATTTATGGTAAGATAACTTTCGAAAAGATATTCACAAAAGGCTTTACTTAATCTAAATCCATTTTTTGAATTTAAAAAAGTACTTTCTGAAAAAAGCTAACAAAAGCAACTTCCACTGAATTTGTTTCTAAAGCTTTTTTAAAATCAACAAAAAAAACAAAATCATCCTTTAATTTTTCTATTATTTTTTTAAAATCATCCTTCTTTTTTTTTCAATATATGTATTAAATTATTTGCATCTTTTTTCCCTTTTTCTAAAAACAAAGCAGAAAAATCCTCATATTTTCCAAACAATACTTTTCATTCTTTATTTCGACATAAATTTTCTCATTTATAAACTCATTTAATCTTTTATATATTATAAAAGCACTCAAAAACACTAATTTTTTATAATTCTCATTTTCTTTATATAATTTAGTCTTATAAGATTTCTCATATGTTTCCAATAAGGAATTACAATGAGCCAAAAAACTAAAAATTCTCTTTTCGTAATATTTTCTTAATGAAAAAGCCATTTTTAGTATGTTATTTTATTGTATTTCTCCTAAAATAGATTAAGTTTAATTATTTTTCTTCACATCATATAATGACTTTTGTAAAACATCTCCTTTAATACCTGTTTTTCCACTCACCCATTCATTTTCAAAAAACTCTTTGAAGCCGATCCGTTAATTGGGATCTTTAGAAAGCATATTTTATAATAAATTCTAAAGTTAGGATGAAATATTTACTTCAGAAGCAGTAAAATCAAGCCTAAATTATTTTATCTCATGGACAAGCTCTAATATTGAAGTACTTTTTTTTGCACAAAATGGATTTTTTCCAAAAATTAATTAATATATAATTACTCCTATACTCCAAATATCACATTTCTCATTATACTTTTTCCCAAAAAGAACCTCAGGTGCCCTATATATATTAAAATTAATAAAAATATAAAAAAATATTTATAAAAAAAAGTACATAGTTATAGGAGTACCAATAAAAGAATTCATATAAATATCTTCTTTTTCGAGATATTTAGCGAAACCAAAATCTGCTAATTTAATAGTAAAATCAAAATCTACTAAAATATTTGCTAATTTTAAATCCCTGTGTACAATTTTATGTTTCCTTAGAATTTCAAATGCATTTCTAATTTGAAATATTATTTGTTAAACTAAAGACTCATCTATCTTTCCATTATAATATTTATTTATATATGATTATAGGTCGCCATTTTGACAATATTCAAATATTAAATAATAGTTCTGTGCAGTTTTTTTAAAATCAATAATTTTTACAATAGATTTATCATTTATTAACTACAATATAGTGTATTCTTGTTTTACTTTTTCATAATTTTCGTTATTTAATTTTTTTATT